CTGCTGAGTAGTACTCCATTGTTTATATGTACCACATTCTCTTTATACATTCCTCAGTTGAGGTGTATCTAGGTTGTTGCCAGGTTCTGGCTATTACAAATAATACTGCTATGAACATAGTTGAGCATGTGTCCTTGTGTTATGACTGAGCATTCCTTGGGTATATGCCAAAGAGTGGTGTAGCTGGCTCTTGTGGAACATAGATTCCCAGTTTTCTGAGAAACTGCCACACTGATTTCCAAAGTGGCTATACTAGTTTATACTCCTACCAAAGTGGAGGAGTGTTCCCCTTGCTCCCTATCCTCTCCAACATAAGCTGTCTGCATTGCTTTTGGTCTTAGCCATTCTGACAGGTGTAAGATGGTATCTCAGACAGGTTTTTGTTTGCATTTCCCTGATGCCTAAGGATGTTGAGCAATTCCTTAAATGTCCTTTTGGCCATTAGAGCTTCTTCTGTTGGATATTCTCTGTTTAGCTCTGTAGACCATATTTAAATTAGACTGTTAGGTATTATGATAGGTAGTTTCTTGAGTTCTTTATATTTTCTAGGGTTAAGCCCTCTGTCAGATATGGAGTTGATGAATCCTTTTCCCATCTGTAGGCTGTCGTTTTGTCTTTTTTTTTTCAAGACTGGGTTTCTCTGTGTAGCTTTGAGCCTTTCCTGAATCTCACTCTGTAGACCAGGCTGGCCTTGAACTCACAAAGATCTGCCTGCCTCTGCCTTTCGAGTGCTGGGATTAAAGGCGTGTGCCACCAACACCTGGCAGTTTTCTCTTATAGACCATGTCCTTTGCTCCACAAAAGCTTCTCAGTTCCAGGAGGTCCCATTTATTAATTGTTTCTCTCAGTGTCTGTGCTACTGGTGTTACATTTAGGAAGTAATCTCTGGTGCCAATGCATTCAAGACTATTTCTTACTTTCTGTTCTATCAGGTTAAGAGTAATTGGGTTTATGTTGAGGTCTTTGATTCACTTGGATTTAAGTTTTGTGCACGGTGACAGATAAGGACATATTTGCAGTCTTCTACATGTTGACATCCAGTTATGCCAGCACCATTTGTTGGAGATGCTTTCTTTTTTCCATTGTACAGTTTTGGCTTCTTTGTCGAAAATCATATGTTCTTACATGTGTGGATTAATGTCAGGGACTTCAATTCAATTTCATTGGCCCACATGTCAGTTTTTATGCCAGTACGAAGTTGTTTTTAATACTGTAGCTCTATAGTAGAGTCAGGGATCATGATGCCTACAGCAGTTGCTTTATTGTACAGGATTCTTTTAGCTATCCTGGGTTTTTTGTTTTTCCATATGTGTTGAGTACTGTTCTTTCCAGGTCTGTGAAGAATTGTATTAGGATTTTGATAGGGATTGCATTGACTCTGTAGATTGTTTTTGGTAAGATTGCCATTTTTACTATGTTAATTCTACCTATCCGTGAGTTTGGGAGATCTTTCCATTTTCTGATATCTTCTTCAATTTCTTTCTTCAGAAACTTAAAGTTCTTGTCATAAAGGCCTTTCACTTGCTTAGTCAGAGTTACCCCATGGTATTTTATTTTATTTGTGGCTATTGTAAAGGGTAATATTTCTCCAATTTCTTTCTCAGTCTGTTTATCCTTTGTATATCAGAGGGCTACTGATTTTTTAGTTAATCATGTATCCTACCACATTACTGAAGGTGTTTATCAGCTGTAGGAGTTTCCTGGGAGAATTTTGGTGGTCACTTATGTATTATATCATATCATCTGCAAAGAGTGAAAGTTTGCCTTCTTCCTTTTCAATTTGTATCCCCTTGATCTCCTTTTGTTTTCTTATTGCTCTAGCTTGAACTTCAAGTACTATATTGAATAAATATGGGGAGAGCAGACAGCCTTGTCTTGTTCCTGATTTTAGTGGAATCACTTTGAGTTTCTCTCCATTTAATTTAATGTGGGTTGTTGGCTTGATGTAAATTGCCTTTATTATGTTTAGGTATGTTTCTTGTATTCCTGATCTCTCTAGGACCTTTATCATGAAGGGGTGTTGGATTTTGTCAAAGACCTTTTCAGCATCTGATGAAATAATCATTTTTTTTCATTCAGTTGGTTTATATGTTGTATTGCATTGACAGAATTTAGTATGTTGAACCATCCTTGCATCCCTGGGATGAAGACTACTTGATTATGGAGGATAATTTTTTGATGTATTCTTTTATTTGGGTTGCCAACATTTTTTTGAGCATTTTTGCATCAATGTTCATGAGAGAGATTGGTCAGTAATTCTCTTTTTTTGTTGCATCTTTGTGTTGTTTATGTATCAAAATAACTGTAGCCTCATAAAAGGAGTTTGGTAAAGTTCCTTCTGCTTCTAGTGTGTGGAACAATTTGAAGAGTATTGGAATTAACTCTTCTTTGAAATACTAGTAGAATTCTGCATTGAAATCATCTGTTCCTGGGCTTTTTTGGGTTGGGAGACTTTTAATGACTGTTTCTATTTCCTTAGGGGTTATTGGACTATTTAAATAGTTTATCTGGTCTTGACTTAACTTAGGTATGTGGTACATATCCAGAAAATTATCCATTTCTTTTCGATTTTCTAGTTTTTTTGGAGTAGATTTGTTTGAAATATGACCTGATGATTTTCTGGATTTCCTCAGTGTTAGTTGTCATGTCTCCCTTTTCATTTCTGATTTTCTTAATGTGGATGCTCTCTCTCTCTCTGCCTTTTGTTTAGTTTGGATAAGGGCTTGCCTATCTTGTTGATTTTCTCAAAGAACCAACTCTTTGTTTCATTAATTTTTTGTATTGTTGTCTTTGTTTCTATTTTATTGATTTCAGCTCTCAATTTGATTATTTCCTGGCATCTATTCCTTCTGGGTGACTTTGCTTCTTGTTGTTCTAGAGCTTTCAGGTGTGCTGTTAAGTCAGTAGTGAGAGATTTCTCCACCTTCTTTATGTGGGCACTTAGTGCTATGAATTTTTTTTAGCACTGCTTTCATAGCGTCCCATAAGTTTGGGTATCTAATACATTTATTTTCATTAAATTCTAGGAAGTCTTTAATTTCTTTCTTGCTTGCTTGCTTAACCCATTGGAGGTTCAGGGGAGCATTATTCAGTTTCCATGAGATTGTAGGCTTTCTGTAATTTTTTTTCTTTTTTTTAAATTTCATTTTATTTTACAACACCATTCAGTTCAACCTCATAGCCACAGATTCCCCTGTTCTCCCCTTCTCGTCCCCCTCCCCCTCCCCCAGCCCACCCCCTATTCCCACCTCCTCCAGATCAAGGTCTCCCCCGAGGACCAGGATCGACCTGGTAGACTCAGTCCAGGCAGGTCCATTCCCCCCCTCCCAGACCAAGCCAAGTGTCCCTGCATAAGTCCCAGGATTCAAACAGCCAACTCATGCAA